CACCTCTCCTATGAGGAGAGGCTGAGAGAGTTGAGGCTGTTCAGCCTGGAGAAGAGAAGGCTCTGGGGAGATCTTATTGTGGCCTTCCAGTACCTAAAGGGGCTACAGGAGAGCTGGGGAAGGACTTTTTACAAGGGCATGTAGTGATAGGACAAGGGGGAATGGCTTTAAACTGTAAGAGGGCAGGTTTAGATTAAACATTAGGAAGAAGTTTTTCACTTTAAGGGTGGTTAAGACACCGGAACGTGTTGCCCAGAGAGGTTTTTGAGGTGTTCCCTGGAGGAACATCCCTGGAGGTGTTTGAGGCCAGGCTGGATGTGGCCTTGGGCAACCTGGTCTAGTGGGAGGTGTCCCTGCCTCATGCAGGGGGGTTGGAACTCAATGATCTTCAAGGTCCTTTCCAACCTAAACCATTCTATGATCTCTTACAACCTGTGGCCCGTTAGCACATTAAGGCTTTGGAGGGGAAGCACAATAGTGGTACTGAGGCAGATGTTTGTGAGCTTGGGTATGCTGCTGTTTCCTTGACTCGTAATAGTGTTTTTGTCTGGAGTGTCGTGATATATTTTCTGGTGTTTCTAGAGTTTTTTCCATGGACTGTGCAGTTATTTTTCCTGTGTTCATATTCTCTTTGCTCTGAAATGCCCTGAGGTAGACATTCCTGACCTTCTAGCAACTGGCCTGGTGATTTTTATGGCTCTTTTAAGTGCTGTTAATAGATTAATAAATACAGCAATTACAAGTATTTGCTTTATAACAAATGTATTCAAAGCAGTTGATTTAGGGTTTCAAGGGAAAGTGGCCCTTGTACTGAAACTGCATGTAACAGTTTTAGTGCAGGTTTTGTCTCCTGTTGGATGGAAGAGATACCATGTGCCACATATGATGCATCTTAGCAGCCACCCTTTTCAAGGTCAGATCTGGATCTCGTTCCTTTGGCTTAATTCTGGGGCATAAGGATTGCTGTGCTGTAGTAGTTGTAGCAGAGTTAGTCAAAACTTAAGCTGCAGCTTTGTTATTTTTACTAGATGCACTTATAGTATTAATAATCAGTTTGACTTGGTGGCTTATTAATTATTAATTCCCATTCATTTTAAGGATGTCACTGGTGTAGTAAGAATTAGTGTGCTGTTTAGTTAAATACATATGTTGTATTAAGTTTAAACCCACCCTGCTCTACGTGCTCACAGAAGTGCATGCGTTCTGGTTCTTCAGTGTTTTGTCCCACTTGAACTATTTTCATGCTGTTCTTTCCCCTTGCTTCCTCTCCTTTAGGTCTGCACTTCTCTATGGTGTATAACGTCTGAGCCTTTGGTACAGCCTTGATGATGCTTGTATTGAACTAACCTAGAACTTGCTTAAATTATAATTCTTGAAACAATAAAAATGAAAAATACTTTTGAAAAAATTAAACTCTATCTTCAATTTGTTATGGAGAGATATTTGTAATGATTGGTGAAAGTTCTGCAGTAGCTTTGGAAATGTCATAATTATCCAACTAGCGCTCTGAAGGGTTTAGCATTCATTATTACAAGATGAAAGCTTTGGTAGGTTGAAAATAGTCATTTGTTGTAACCATAACTTCTTTTTTTTTCCTTCTTGCAGTTCCCACCCACTCATTCACCCATGCACTTCAACCTTAGAATGATTTCCTATCCTGAGTTCATGGGAATTATGAACAAGGGTAGCTGTTGTCATAAGCATTGTAAAAGCTTTATAAAAAAAAAAAAAGAGGAGGGGGAGGAAGGTTGGAGAGGGTGAAGGAACAAGGAACAGTTGTATTGATTATTTTGTTCTTCTGATCAAAAGCTTAAGGCAAATATTTAAAGTACTTAATTTCAGAATGCTGCAATTTTGTATGAGTTCTAACTTCTATCATCTTTCAAAATGGGGGGGTTATGTGACTTTCTGGTAGTTCAGCTTTAGATTTTGTTTAAGTTTTTTATGTTTAAACTTTCTAAACATTAAAGTCTCTTGCACTTTACTTTTTTGGTATTCAAAGTATTTTAGTTACCTGGAGACAGGAAAATTCTGAACGTAATTAGTAGAAGGCCCAATATTCATCAAAAGCTTCTTTGAAAACTAACTTAAATCCATGAAATTTGTGTTGCTTCAATCAAAAGATTAAGGGTTCATGAGAACAGTACTTTGAAAAAATAAAATAAAAATCTACAAGCATGATATGCAACTTCAGCCTAAAATTTAGGAAATTTTTTCTTGAAGAGATCTAAGAATGGGATCTGTTTGTGGCTGTGTGTTGAAGGTACATAATCAAGTTATGTAGATCTGAATTGGGCGTTAATGACAATATATTGCAGGGTTTAGATCAACTTTTCCTCACATTGAGGGATTGTAGGGACTTGGGGTAAACCTGCTTCTGGTGGTGGTCATCTCTTTTCTTTTATCAAATTTTGGACTGTGAAAGAAGAAATGGTGGGAAGCAGGTGGGGGCTGAGGATTGCAGATGTAGTTATGTGGCGTGTAGGTGGCTCGTATCGGTGTTGCTCGGGGCGCGCAACTGTCTGTAATGTTGCGTGTTTCTTTGTACTATATTCTTAGCTTCTTTTGTCTTTTTTAGTTGGGGTGAGTGTTGTGCTTGTATTGTTGTAAGGGTAGCTTTCTTTTTTTTTATTTTGAATGCAGTGATAACATCCTTGAATTTGAGCTGTTAATGTGGAAGAATATACAAACTATCACATGCTTACATATTTTGTATGATCTGGTGGTAGCATATATAATAACTTAAATTCCTGATGTCTTTTCAAACACAGCCATGCATTCAGTGCTTACTTTGACTTGTGTTTTGTTCATATTTCTGGTCATTTGTACATATCCTGACAGTTTTAATGGAAACTATTTGAGAAAATGATCCTTAATCTTTTTATGCTGCTGCAATACTGACTATGAATTCTCCTCCAGGTGCCCAGATTATTGATTTGATGATGCTTGTAATAGACGTGACAAAAGGGATGCAGACGCAGTCAGCAGAGTGCTTGGTAATTGGGCAAATTGCCTGCCAGAAGATGGTGGTAGTTCTGAACAAAATAGATCTCCTTCCAGAGGGGAAGAGACAAAGTGCCATTGAGAAGATGACTAAGAAAATGCAGAAGACCTTGGAAAATACAAAGTAAGTTAACAGTAATATTAACAGCTAACTTGTAACAAAAGGTTTAACAAAAATAACTTCACCCACATTTCCCTTCCAAAGTGCTTCTGAACATGCCAAATTTGGCCCCTACTAGGTGAAATACATAAAGACATCTAGCAAAGATGATGAGAGTGGGAAGATTACCAGAAATTCAAATGCAGTCCTGAATTTGTATCTGCAAGTGTCATGTGTAGAGAGATATTTTCCTGTAATGACACTTTTCAGTTTAAAGGGCTGCTTGGAATTCAGATTGGATAAAACACAGCCAGAATACCCAGGTGAAGAATTAGGGTTTTTTTCACTGTTGAGAAGAAAATGTTAAGGCTTCTCCTTAACTGAGGGTGAAAAATGTGATTGCCCTAACTAGGGAGAGCAGAACGATGGAAGCTAATATAATGTAACGTGGCTCTGGCTGGGATGATGTTTGTTAGTCCTGTGTAGGTAAATTGAGGTGTACATAATGAGTGAAGTGCAGTGAGATTCATGAGTGGAAATATGGCTGTTGTGAAGTGGGAAGATACAGTACGAACACAGTACTCATTTGGTGGGTACACAAATTGAAGGACAGCTTCCCTTTCAACTGTGCCACGGCCACAATAGTGACTATAAAGATGTTGGTGTCTTTCCAGCTCCTGTGTTGTTCTTGGGTCTGTTCATTTTGCTGAGAATGTTACAGAGGTCACCAAGAAAGTGAAATTCTGTCTTTTGAACTTAGATAGAATCCTACAAATTTCAGTTCTCTCTGGCAGCTGTTGAATTTAAGGGCAAATAAATACAGGGTGGCTTGGTTTTCTGTGTAGGTTGGTGCCCCTTGTTTTCGGGGAGCTAGAGAAAGGAGACACCTGCAATATCTCAAAGCATTTTGGATCCACAATTTTTTATAGCTGTGAGTCTGATCAAACTCTCAGGTAATCCCAATGGGGATAGCATTGAGGTAATAAAGTTAATAAAAACTTAGGGATAATTATCTAAGGGCTTTTTTGTGGTTTTATTTGGTTGTTTGAGAGGTTGATGTATAGAATGTGAATTAAGCAGCATTATAATTAATAGTCATTTTCTATCTGTTTCTCACCCATGCCAAGAAGTTAATGATTTTTGAGAGAGTTTATCTTAATATACTACTTAAGTTTATTTTGTCCTTCTTTTAAAATTTTTTTTATTCTTCTTGAAGGGCAGTAATTGCTGCTGCAGATGATACTTCATTCTTGATTTAGTCCAAGATGGTATTGTGAATGATTGATAACAAAGACTTTGCTAGTTGCATATTTATAAAAGGAAGACAAATTTTTCTAAGGAAACTGGTGTTCAGAAATGCTTTATGTACACTGCTTGAATTAAATCTTCTCTTTATATCCTGCAGTACAGGTGGGTCTTTACAGTATGTCTTGAAAATTGGCAGTCTTTGTCAAAACTGAAGGGGAAGCGAGGTTTTTGAAACAGTTGACATGCGAACTGTGTGAGGTCCTTACCCCTAGCCACCTTTTAAAACAAGGATGATCGCAACAGCTGTGTTTCCAACTGGAGAGAAATGGTCCTGTTTGCAATGTTTTAATTACACATTTGAACTCTGGATCCTAGAAATGCTCTTTTATTGGATGTGTTCTGTGTACTGTTCTCATAACAAAAATTCAGTTTTTGCATGTGCAGACTGCTTTATGGTGCTTTGAAAGCACTGCTGACCTGGGCCTGACTGCGAAGTGCTTGTCCTGTTGCATCTCAGGCATGAGTTGTTTCTCAACAGCCTCTTTTCCCACGTGACTTTGAATTTCCCAAACACATGTTTTCTAACTGTTTTTGTATTTCTAAACTACTCTTGTTAGCAAAGGGTGCCCTGAGACTGTGTAACAGCTGCCTCTGACCTTAAAGAGTTGACAGTTTGGTTTTTTTTTTTCTCAGGAATAGTTTACTTGTTGATTATTATTTCTCTACATACACTGGCACGTGTGCATAATTCCATAACAGTAAGGAGATCTGAAGGCTCTTGCAGCTTTATAGAGTAGGTGTTGCCCTTGATGCTGGGGAAATTATTGTAGTGCTGTCAGGACATTCCATGGAAGGTGGAAAAAAATAGGCAGAGGAAAGCAATGGTCGTATATTTGCATAGTTTGACACTTGTAAATTTAACCTAATCAAAACTTGCTTGTTCCGTGGTTTGGTGCCAAAAGTAAAAGCAAGCTGTCTCTATGAATGGAATTACTATTTTTTCATAGGTTTTCTCACATGCCAGCTTTTATCTTTGTCCAGCAGGATCTAAACTCTGACAATAAATCGCTGTGATGGAGTAAGAGTTTTAGTAGGGCTGAATCGTGTTTAGAAGTGCCTCCAAAAGCAGTGTATGATTACTCCAGTTTGTTCTGATATATGGAAAAAGGAGTGAAGCACCTGGTTCAGCATAAATTTCTACTTATTGCAATATAATACCCTAAAGTATTTGTATGAAAATAAACTTCCAAAAGTTTTATGGTTAATCACAGGAATTTTCAGTGCACGTTTTTATTACCTGTTATGCCTAGATGCCTCAGACTTATGGCATATAAACAAAGAAAATTCCTTATATGCTCGATTACTTATTTGGTCACTAAATGAGCTCCCTATGTAGAATGTTACATTTCTTTTCTTTTTTAAGGTACTGTCTTTTTCCTCCCAGCTCACTTTCTTTTTGATAAAATTTATGGGGGGTGGGTGTCAAAAGGATGACAACAATAATTACGTTTGGTCTGAACCTGTTGCATAAGAATCAAGTATCTATAAGGACCAATTTTTTTTGTTTTATTGCTGATTATTATTCCATTGCTTTAATATGTATATCTCACACGGCTGATCCTGAATTTTTGCAAAAATGCAATAGTAATTTGACTTGTACTCTAACTTCTCTTTCCAAAATGTAGGCAAAACAGGCTATCTGATTATTCAAATACTAGGTTTTAGAGAACAAAATTTATGAGTTCAGTCAGCAGACTTTAAAAAAGCTGCTGAATATTACAGACTTGAAGAGTAAAATTCAAAATTAGCAAGAGAAAAGCTAAACTGAGGTTAATGGTGGAGGTACTGCTCTTCGCTGAACCTTTGCGTGTTTGAGATTGTGGGTTTCATGAACTTTGATTTCAGTAGATTTAAGTCTTTCTGTTGTCTTCAAGTCTTGTGGTTTGCTTGCAGACTCAGATAGAAGTTGTGTTGCCACCTTGCATTTGGCTCCTGTTTTGAAGGTTATGGCTCTACAGCTACCATTATAATTGCTTTAATGACAGTTGAAAACAGTGCTAGTCTCCAGGTAAAAGGGCTTGAATGGAAAGCCACTGCAACAAGGCCTGGGTAACAGAACCTTGCTTCTGAAATAAACTTGAGGTCTTGCTTTTAACTGCCACAGAGCTGAATCAGTAGCTATTATTAAACAGGATTGAAGATTTTGTAGTGAATTCCAGTAGCGCAGATGCGAGTAATTCAAGAAAAAATTGTCAGTTCTTCACTGTGTGGAAAGAAGCAGGTAAATCAATTTGAAGGAGTTTCCTTGCCTTCATTGCCAGATGAGTCTGGAACTACTTTACATTGACACATGTAGGAGATCTGCGGTCTAATGGTGGGAGTCTTTCTCTCTTTCAGGTTCTGTGGGTGTCCTATTGTTGCTGTTGCAGCAAAGCCCGGTGGACCAGAAGCCCCAGAGTCTGAGAATCCACTAGGTGTTTCTGAATTAATTGAGGTACCTGCTGAAGAACATAATAACAACATAAAACATACTTGAACTTTTCTTGAAGTCTTTTGGAGTATGTTGTACTAGTATTTAGAGCTGAGGAACTCCTGCATTAATGTCAGTCTTAAGAAATATGATTCTTTAGGCATTCCTTCCAGTGAATGGAAAAGTTGAGGTTGGATGCCCCAAGAGTGGTTCTTCTTTTTCAACTACTAGGCTTCAATACCTTTCAATAGCTGTGTCTTAAACAGCTATCATACCTGTGGTGAAATTGGTTTTAAAGTTGCAAAGAATTACAAAGCGTAACAAATAAAAACGGCTTTAAAATTCTACCATATCCTTGGTATGTGCTGTGTTATGATTGTACCACAGTTAAGAAAACAGTAAAGTTGTGGTCAAGCACTCATAAGTTACACGTTGGGAATTGTCTCCTTCCTTCGTGTGTGTGGATTATGATCCAGTGTTTAAGTGCATGAGTCTTTATTCTGAACAACCCCTACCCTCTTCCTTGCACAAGATGGACAGAGCTCAACTGGTGAGCAAGTAGTCTGTATTTTATTTTAATTCTTATTATTCTCCGTGTGGCCTCATGACTCCATTCAAATACTGTTCTGCATTCAGAATGATTAATTTCCTCCTGGACTTTTCTTTGGCACACATTGCTGTGGTCGTGAGCACTTGGCAAACAGTTAATTTACTTCCAAAAGACTTATAGGAAGTGTAGAGGTGACTTTAATCCATATTTAGATTGGGAAGCTGAGGCACAAAGGAGTTAAGTCCATTGAGTTTGCTAATTTTAGTTGCGAAAGTTGAGGAAACTAGGAACTCTTTTGGGATGTGCTTGTGTTCAGATCATAGCACCTGCCAATTTTGATTGCAATTGTGAGTGCTTAGCACTTCTGTTAAGCTTTGAGGTTTCTGTTCTGACAGTCTGAGGTGTATAGTCAGTGATTACCCGTGGAAAGTTTCATTTTTAAGAGAATGACAATACAGGGGAGTTCTGGCATAAGCAAGTGTAGAATCTGTCCTCTAGAGGAGCACCACCTGCTTTCGTGATAAAACCGTCTTTCTCTGTGATATGCTGCCTTACTTACTGCATGCCTTGCACATCTGCAAAAGATAAAAAGCATGGCCTGGATTTACCCTGTGCCCTGAATGAGGCAGGGCTTAGAAAAAACTGTATGACTGTATAACTAATACTATATTAGACCCATATGAACAAGAGAAAGACTTTAAGCAAACTGATGCTTTACAGGTATACTTAGTTCCAGCAATGTGGGTTGGGGTTTTTTGGGGGGGTGGTTAGCAGGTGGGAGAAAAAAAACTCTCAGGTTTTCAAAAAAAAGTAAGGGCAAGACACTTAAAACAGCTGTTTGAGAGCAGTTCATAGCTTGTAGTAGACTTGTCACCCTTTCTGTGAATAAGCTTTAGGGAGAAGTAGCATCTTTGCCCTGGAGGGGCACCACTGTTACTTGCAGACAGCAGAAAGTAGTCTTAAAACAAAAGCATCATTCTTTGCAGACTTGGCAAGGTCTGATTTGGATGCTGCCAGGTTTAAAATACTTAAATTGTTGAAGTTAGGGTGCAGCACCGGTCATCAAAAAATCTAGGGATGTCTGGCCCTGGGCAGCATGGTTTGTCGCACCTCCTCCCAGGCACGTGTGGTCTGCCCTGGGCTCGGGGGTGTGACGTGGTGTATGGCCTTAGGATAGACTTAGCAAGACTATTGCCCACAGCAATGCTTAGACGGGTGGTGATAGGCAAGTCCTTAGTTCTGCCTTCATCTCGTTCCCGTTAGATTTACCTGGGGTGTTCCCAAGGGTTAAAACCTTTGGAGGAAATACCCATGTTGCAGCCGTTTCTGTCAACTCTGAGACTGAATATTAGAAGAGCTGGCAAATGCTGCGTGAGCCCTGCTGTTCAGCTTCAAGGTATTGTCCTTGATAAGAGACTCTCTTCATTTTTCTGCCATTATAACTTGGGCTTAACCTGCACTTTCTGACCTTAAAAGTAGACATTAAAGTCAGTGCCAAGTTTATATGCTGATGTTATAACAGGCAGAGATTAAAAGTGATTTGAGACAGGGGTGAACCTGTTCCTCTGAAGCACTGTTGGGTAAATGACTACATTTCTATAAGGTCCTCTGTCTATGGTGATATATTTTAAGAAACATAGTCTTTATAAGCAAAACAAAAATCCTAAACTTCAAGAGTTTCTCTAGAAATAGGTAGTGTAATAGCTGGTTTTTAGTGGTTTAATCCTCCAAGAAGCGTTAACGGAAATCTGAAGGGGAAGTTGACTTTGAAAACTTAACCCAATATAATAGTTTTTCTGGGAGGGAGGCAGGGATGGGCTTTATGGGGCACTAATATCTGTATATAAGTTCATTTTCACAAAATCCAAAAAAGCTGAAGTAGCAAAATGCACTGTAAAATCGTACTTTTGAGAGGGGGGGAGGAAAAAGAAGGGGGATGGGGACATAAAGGATTTTTTTTCTTTGCTGCAGTGTTTATATTGGGTTTGGCAGCAACTTTATGGCCAGTACAGTTTTGCTAACCAAGCTAAATGTGCAGCACCAAATCTTTCTAAGGCAGAAAAATCGAACTGTTGCTGCTAAGTGTGCGTCTCCTCTATGGCACGCACAGTTAATTTGACATTGGTGTGTTCTAAGCTCATTGGGAGATGCCTGAAATCAGTAAAACTGCAAGCTTGTTCAATCAATCATCCGCTTGCCTTCCTTTTGCTGGATGACTGTCATGACTTTTCACCCAGGCATGGTGCTGCTTTTATCTTTTTTTTTTTTCAGGTCCTGAAGTCTCAGGCTTACCTGCCATCAAGAGACCCCTCGGGACACTTCCTTATGGCAGTCGACCACTGTTTCTCTATCAAGGGTCAAGGCACTGTGATGACAGGGACTATTCTTTCTGGCTCTGTTAGCCTGGGTGACAATGTGGAGATTCCTGCCCTGAAGGTGAGTCTCTCATTTTTGCTCCCCCCCAGTTTTCCTGGTAGAAGGACACACTCAACAAAGAAGAGAGTGTTCTCTTCCAATCTGAAATTATTCAATTATTTTCAATGTCTGGTTTTTTTGTTGTTGTTTTTGTACTTTACTATAAGCCAGCTTGCAATAGGAAGGCAGTTAGAGATTTTTACATAGGGCAGATGGTAAAGTTACGTGCTCAATTTTAGTTGAATGAAGAGGGAAGACTGACCTGGCTTAGCACATTAGGCTTTTGAATTCAGAAAAGCAAGGTGGGCATGGTCCCAAGATGGAATGTGCCCAAGGACTGAACAAGGTTTGAGTGAGGTTACTTTCTTCTGAGATCTGCTGCAATGAGAAGGCTTGCAAAAGAACCAGGGTGGGTAGGCTTCCCGAGATGTCTGGAAGCGAAGGAAATGACAAGAAGAGGACGTTGAAATGCTTTATGTGCATTCTTTTTGTTTGGGGCTTTAATTGATGTCAGCATGTTCTGGGAGAACTGCTGGGATGCAGTTAGCTGGCTTGCTGCAGTTGGGTGTTTTAGAGAGGCTGTAGAAAGTCAGGAGGCCTTTCAGTGGTGTTTGAACTGCTTAACTGTTGTTACTATTTTTCTTAAAATATCTTCATCTTTTAAAAGAAAGCAAGGTGACTTTATGCTTGGAACAGGTGAAGCCTGTTTCACAGATGCTGATTTGGACTGCTCGGACTTTCCCTTTTTATTAATTGCCCGAAATGAGTCAAGACTTGAGGACTGTTTTGTAGCTACCACTTGAAGTAGACCTTGCCAGTTACATTCTGAGAGTAGGCAGCTTTTGGCTGAACCAACCTGGATGAGACCCTTTTGGTGGTATCATAATTGTCCTCAAGTCATGTTACTATAAGGACCTTATTCTTTGAACGTGATGCTTCCTCATTTTTGCCTGTACTTTGTGGGCAAGTGAAGGACTAAGTGAGGCATTCTGATTTCACCTGAAGTATTTTCCTGATAATTGACAACTATAATTTTTGGTCAGCCTCTACTGTCATACCTGTGGCTATCTAGCTTATGTCATATTGTCCTTTTCATAAAAGTAATTAGCATGACACGTACCCTATCATGTCTGCTCACTGCCCATATTCTCATTTGCAGTATGCAGCCTGTTCTGGGAAACCACGCTTGTAATTCCTGCAGGGAAAATATGCTTTGCTCTGGTTTCAACCTCTCCTGCTTTTCCCTTTCTTAGGATTCCTTCCCTTTTCTGTTGTGTCCTGCTTGCTGTTCTGGGCCTGCCTGCACCAGGGGGTTCAGGGAGGGAGAAGCGGTTTGGAGTGCGAGGCTGCTGCTTATGGGTGGTGGGCGATGTCTCCTGCCCCGCAGGGCTCTTGCGTGGCTGCCTCGCCGCTTTTCTTTTGGCGTAGCACTGGCCAAACTTCCTGTCACTTCGTGCCCTGGGAGATGGGGGTGAGAGAGAGCACAGTAATTACTTCTTGCAAAGAAAGAATGCGTAACTAGATTGTATCTGGAAATGACTGTTCAGTTCTTCGTGTATAGTCCAAGAATGTTTTGGAGAAATACATTTAGGAATCAATCTGTTCTTTGAGAATCCGTATGATGGGGAAAATGACAAAAATATAGTGAATAACTTGCATATTGCGAATGGGGATTTAAAAGGATGGTAGGGAAGGCTTTAAGTGGGGACTTTAAAAGATGCTTTCTTCCCAAATGATTGGGGGAGCAGTGAAGTGAAAGGCAAGTTAGCAGGTAAATAGGTCATTGACAGAAAGAAGCCGGATCATTTGACTTTCATGGCATTAACGACTTCTGTCAGAGCTTTAGTTATTTTCGATTGTTGTTAATGAATTAATCCTTCTATTGGCTTGTGTGAAACAGAAGATGCAATCAAACCTGAGTGGTCATAGCGGTGGGCAGAGTTTTGCATTGTTTTTTGCCACTAGCAGCTTGTGACTATTCATGTTCACATTGTACGCGTATGGAAACCAGGGCGCCGCGAAAGGAAGCAACTTTTGTAAGTTTGAGTTGTGTGTTGTGCTTGCCCCTGCTAGCATCATGCAGAGTTGGGTTAGGATACCTATAAAAGGTCAAACCTTTCTCAGGCCTACAAGGTAACGGAGGAAGCACATTTCACAACACATTGTGGTTTATGACTCTCTCTGACCTTTTTTTGCCCTGACCCTGTGGTAACTGAGATTGACAGCTGGTGCCCACTGGGCATTTAGGGACATTACAGACCAGCTGCTTTTTAAATTTGAGGAACCCTCTCCCCAAGTGAAGTGGCATCACCTTCCAGTTCTGCTAATGGACTTGGACATCTTTGACCGCTTGAACCTGCACAAAGGAGGGACACAGCAATTAAAAATAAACAGTGACATTCTCGAACACCCATGCTTGCTCTGATTGAGGCTGAGAGCACCAGCAGTGCATGGATTCCTTTATGCTGTTGCCTATGTAAATTGCCATCTGGGGTTCATTATCCATATAGCAAAAAGAAAAATTATATATATGTGTTTGGGAAAAAGCTTTGACACAGCAAACAGTTCACTATCCAATTGAGTTAGTGCTATTTGCTCACTAGCACTTGAAATCTACCTTGAAGAGCATGAGCCTAGGATTTCTGCAGCGAAAACGTGGTGTTGGCAGAATTCTGAATGTCCTTGAAGATTATTTCAGTGGACTTTCAATCTCTACAGTCTTTCAGTTTATAAACTGTAACAACTTGTGACATTTTTATTTCTGTTTTATGAAAGTTCCTATAGAAAGGCATAGTAAGGGTTTTTTTTCAATATAGATTCATTTTATTTTACTGATAGGTTTGGCGATAATCACTCCAAAATATCGATCTAAGTATATTTTGTTTAGTGAATTTAGTTGAAGGTGAGCATGACTGTCAAATTCTCTAGTGCTGCTGTGTCTTAATGTAGCTTGCTTTAATTGAAAAAGGAAAGTGGTGGGGTGTTTTTTGGTTTTTTTTTTCAGTGGGGGAGAATTCTCTTTGCCTTCCTTATCCAGGTTCAAAAGATCATAGTAGCTTAAGAACAGCAGCAACTTAGAAGGCCAATGCAAAACAGGCGAGAACCAGGACTTCTGTTCTTATCATTGTTGTCTCAAAACAAACAAAAAAAATCCTTGTATGAAAAGTAATGCAAAATGCTGTATGGTATGTGTTCTTCCTTCTGCCGAGTGTTAGGGATTCTAGCTTTGGATTGCATGCTTGCAAGCACATTAGGAATACTGGAAGACGGAGTAAAACAGATGGTAATATGTTAAGATTCCTTTAAACATGTTTTGCAGCACAGGAAATGTTCCAGGTTGGTTAATAAGAATCACTCTCTCTGTCTTAAGAGTTGTGAAAGATCATAGGGAGGGGTCAAGTCTGAACTGAGTGAGGAGGCAGAGATAGATGTATACAGTTAATGGATATAAATCTGGTCATCCTGAAAGTGTTGACTCAGCATTGCCTTACCTGTGATCAAGCGCTGCAGGTATAAAGCAGCCGCAAAGCATGTACATGGCAATCAAGTACAAAGACCACTGTTAAGGGGGATTTTATTTTATTTTTTTTTCCCCAGGACTTGTGTGAAGCAGAAACTTCTCTTGCTTTATCTTCAGGTTCCTATCAGTTGGGTTTAATGTAATTACTGGAAATGTTAGAGCAAGTCAGTGCAAGCTGCATGGCTGGTGGATGTTAATAGCTTCATTGGCGCATATATGAAAGTACAGTACGCTGCTGGTTTGTACTGTGCTTTGTCAGAAGTTCGTGAGTGCCTTGAAGGCTGAGTAGCTGTGTTATTGGTAAACAGTTACGTTTATGTTTATCTCTGGGTGGATCATGTGGGGATTTTTGCTTTGTGCTGAAGAATGTATCTGGTGTAATACAGCGCAATGTCATTTCTTACATAATAAATCATGAGGACACCCAATCATTGGACTGACCTTGGGAGGTGCCTCTTTAGACATTGACAGACTTATGATCTGTCTGAGTGTGGTTGAGCTGTTATCGTTAAAGGGGAAGAGGAATGTTCGTATCGGGTCCAACATTCGCCATCCTTGAGGTTTGCAGTAGACAGTTGCTGTTATTAACACTGAGCATTTAAATCTTTAAAAGTTGCAGGAGTGTTTGCGAAACCCTTCTCTTATAGTTGGAGAGCAGTAATCCAGGTGTTCCAGTAGTCTGATATACTTTCAAGAGGTCACCTGAGACCTCAAATATGAAAATTGTGAGAAACTCACTTCTGTTTATCTAGTCAAGTCTCTGAGTAAATGAGAGCGTTGGTTTAAACCAGTAGTGGATTCTGTCTTGGCAAGGGCCTATTTGCTGTTAAAATTATATTGCCTTCATGAACTTTTAAGAAGCATCATTTTCTAAGTGTGATACTGAGAAGCTTCATGGCTTCATATACTTTCACCATGTGAAAGAGATACTTTATTTTTTTTAAGCTTCTTTCTTGGCTAGATAACCTTGGTCTGTTTTTTGGCAAACATTCTTTAGTTTTTGTGGCTCATCCAACAAAAATTCTTCAGTGTCTGATAGAATAACCTAAATAGTATTTCCAAGACTATTTCCTTCAAACCACCATAGCTATTCAAATCGTAACAGATAACTGCTTTTCCCTATATGCTGACCTGATGTCCCAAGACCTCTGACTAGTGAGCTTGAGTACATAAATGTAGTAAGCACTAATTTTGGTATATTTAAGGACTTTTTACACAGTTGCACAGTTATGTCTTGTCAGAGAACATTTAAATCTTGGAAAACAAAGTTGGATCAAACCCTGCTGAATTTGGATCATGAAGACACCTGTATTTGAGCTTTCATGGTGAAATCTTAAATGTGTTTTTACTGATTTCAGTTTGCATTCTTTGGTCTTCATAAATAGACCCTTTACAAATTTCAGCATATCTTGACTGGTGTTTGCACTGCAAATAGATAGAATCCTTACTAAATTTTCTGAGAGTATGTCCGAATGCTGTTTCTACATGGTTTTTTTTCCCT